AAGCTCATGAAGGCAGGACAGGTCGACACTAGCGTTTTAAAAACATGAATGGCATGACAGGCTGTTACATAACCAAGCTTAATTCATCTTCTAGTTTTTGTGAGATAGAAGCTCATGAAGGCAGGACAGGTCGACACTAGCGTTTTAAAAACATGAATGGCATGACAGGCTGTTACTTAACCAAGCTTAATTCATCTTCTAGTTTTTGTGAGATAGAAGCTCATGAAGGCAGGACAGGTCGACATTAGCGTTTAAAAACATAGATGGCATGACAGGCTGTTACTTAACAAAACTTAATTCATCTTCTAGTTTTTGTGAGATAGAAGCTCATGAAGGCAGGACAGGTCGACACAAGCGTTTAAAAAACATAGATGGCATGACAGGCTGTTACTTACCTTGAAAAACACATAGATGGAAGGACAGGACGACAGTAGTCTTGAAAAACACGTCGACATTACACTTTATAGAGGGCAAGATACAAATTACAGAAGTATACAAATATGAATTTAGAAGATTTAGTGTATGTAATTAAATTCTAATACAAAGTTTGAAACAAGTTTTTAAAAGACATTTTGGGATCATACTAGCTACCAATCGGCTCAGCGGTAATTCTGTAGGCTTACGCGTCACACATTTGTTTTCGATACCAGTGGTTAGAAGAGCCCAGATAGCCCATTATATAGCTTTGTGTTTAACAGCAACTAAGCCGTTAAACAAATACACTAGCATTAGGATTTCCCCGATTAACTCAAAAGAATTTACAGTTAGAAATCAATAATTGATTTTTAAATAATAAAGCGAATATAAGAATTGTCTATCGATGTGTTGATTTTTCATTCTTATGTGATAGAAAGCATAATTGTATAACTATAATTTTATATTTTAAAAAATGTTTATCTGAATTTATGAGGCACTCTGGTGAGTAGTCTGAAGTAACTGTAAAATCTTAGTGTTGTATACCTGAGAAAAGAAGTTTCCTTTGTAAAGAAGAGAGTTTACAGAAACACAACGAAGTCGACATGCGTATAATCGCACCTCGCGATTTTGACCTGACGAACATGCCGCTGTCAGCTGTTCAAAAGTAAAGAAGACAACGATTACTTTTACGCGTCAATCAAAAGGTCACAATTCCCGCCTATTGCAGAAGCACCGCCCTCTGTTGTCCGATACTTTAGATGGAAGAGAATAAAGTCGACATCTCGACCTTAGCAACAGGAAGGTACTTCTCATCGTCAACTGTTGAGAGTCTGTTTCCCAACAAGATGGTAAGGGTGCGGTTCTGTCTTGTTCCGGGCCTACTCAACCCTTCTTCTGCATCGAGTCGGAGCCAATGAGTTCTGGAGTGTTGTGATGTATTGTGTGACGCCTTGCCTTTTGTGTGTCGTCATGTGGACTTGCGCCAATCGACAACGAGAAACGTACCCATTCATCAGCGCCATACTGGGGAGCTCGTTCTAAAGCGAGGCCACCTTGGCTCGTTTTGTAAGTACGATCGGTTCGGCGCCAATGTCTTCTGTACAATGGCTACCAACTCGCCAGATCCATACGCAGTCAGAAGTAGCGTGGCCTCTCTGACGAGCATACACGCTAGTAGGAGCAGCGACATGCAGCTCGCAAGTTCGCAGCCCGGTTTTATGCGCGACCCTGCGGAGTTCAAGTACATGCCGCCGCAGCACCAGAGCCCTAACGGGCACGCTCTTGGCCCTCACACCCAGTGGGTCGGCTTTTCTCCTCACGGAGACCCGGGTACGTGGCCGTCCAGCATGGCTCACCACGGTTTGCATACGCAGGACATCAAACCTCCACCCCACGCTGGGGTTGAACTACACTCAGGCACTTTCACCCAGTACCGTCCCTCACAGCAGGTGCCAGCGTCCTACCCGTGGCATCCGACGTCGTTGGCATCATCTCATATGACGGGCATGGTACCTCCAGGGAACGGATCATCTCCCCCACAACGTCCGGCTTATGGGATGAATGGAATATTAACACACGGCACTAGCCAGCTTCAGCCGGTCATGAGGGACATGTCTCAACACCTAGTAAGTGACCTAAACAACCATCACCATTATCACGATTCCATATACCATCGCAGTTTCGATTCCAGATCAGTTGATAATGACCACGCCGTAATAAACGAATCACCACCACCCAATTCAGAAGATCTCGAAACGTTTGCCAAACAGTTCAAACAGAGACGAATTAAGCTCGGGTTTACGCAGTCCGACGTTGGTCTGGCCCTGGGGACGCTCTACGGGAATGTATTTAGTCAGACAACCATTTGCAGGTTCGAGGCTCTACAGTTGAGTTTCAAAAACATGTGTAAGCTGAAGCCACTGCTATCTAAGTGGCTCGAGGAGGCTGATAGTTCTACGGGCTCTCCGACCTCACTAGACAAGATCGCTTCTCAGGGTCGCAAGCGGAAAAAGAGAACCAGCATTGAAGTGTCTGTGAAGACAGCGCTGGAAACTCACTTTCACAGACAACAGAAACCAGTGGCTCAAGAAATAGCAAGTCTGGCGGATAGCTTACAATTAGACAAAGAGGTGGTGAGAGTTTGGTTTTGTAACCGACGCCAGAAGGAGAAGCGGATGACTTCGAACGTTGACGCCGCAGGAAACCCTCTACCTGACAACGAAACGACAAAGGGACGACAGAAAAGCGATGGAAACCAAGATATTCTTCTGAGGCATACAGAAGGAGGGTTTCACAACAGTCAAATCCCACCCCCCACAAACAGCCCGCCCGTGCTACATTCTCCCCCACCTCATTCCGCTAGCCATTCCATTACAACCATAGGTCAATCCTTGACCGCGCATTGACAAGAAATCATATGGCTTGTGTGATTTTATTTTTAATGATTAGGAACTACAAACATTTGATACTTGACATGTGATTCTTAGGCCTAAAACAAGTTATGTGTAGTGGTGCAATGCATAAACAAAATTTCGCTCTTTTTAGTAAACGAAAAGTTTACTTTTTTTTGCTCATGTTGAGAGAACTTGTATATAATAGTGACGTAACGTCGTCTTAGTTTTTGTGTTTTCGTGCCAATTTCCCATTCTCTCTCATTATCTTCGGACAGCATCCTAAATCTCATGTAAAGAAGATGAAATAACGACTAAACAAGCTTAGATAAGTACGAAAGGTGAGAACACACGCTAGTCGAAGTAGGATCCGAGGTTAAGGTGAGGTAAGAACTGCCTGCAGTGATCTCAAGGTAGATAGTTTGTTTAATGATCTTGGTATTTGCTACCTCTCGAAGAACTGTGTAGATTTAAAGATCGAAATATTGTGTCGAGCTGAATATCGTTTTTGTTTTGAAGTTTAAAACACAAGTATCAAAAAGGTATTTTTTTTCCTTGAAGCCTAATAATTGTATTTAGTTTGAACCTCTCTTCTTACTTTACTTTAGAAGACGTTGTTAAAACGCGTAAAAATTAAAAAAAGACGTAGAATGAAAAAAAGAGCAATTATTTAAACACAAAATATCGTGTTTAAGTGTTAAGACTTATTGTTATTATTTTTAAACTGAAAATTAAACCCCGAATGCTTAAGAAACATTCAGGAATGAGGATGTTTTTATTAATGTAAATTAATAACAATAATAACAATTACGAGCCCTACAGTATAGAAACGTATCCGGTTAACTATAGTGTATAATATTGATGAAAGACTTTATATGTGAAAGGCATATCATACTCTTGGATCACACAGGCCTGCGATGGTTTTAATTCTTGAAATTTTAACATGTTCTACAGTAATTCCTGTACGCTGAATCCGAAAATGATATCCATTTTTTCTTATTCACGAACAGATTTTTCACAAAACGTCATATCGCAATACATAAAAGAAAGACCACA